TTGACACCATCTAGCAACCTCGCTAGTTTCTGAGGTCAACCTCTGTCATGGTCTCTGTCACACCTAATTCAAATGTTCCCACTTACCCTGAATTCATGTTTTCATTCAACGAATATTTGTTGAACACCGATTTTATGCCCAGTCTGTTGCTTTATACTTCATAGAGGAATCAGAGGCCCTCAAAGGACAAGTCCCTTGACTTTTTTTTTCCAGTCCTTTAAATTGACCTTCTGTACCCAGCAGCATAGTCCCTTAACTATGAAGCCAAAGCTTCTCCCTCCAAAACAATATTCCCTTGTTAATAGATCATTCCTTTCTTTTGTTGCAATATGGTTGATGACTAAAATCCTAAATCTGTATTTGAACAAATCTTTAACTACATAAGGATAAGCAACAATCTGACAACCAATTTAATTTCATAAAAAGAAGAAAAACTTGACATATCAGACTTATATATCATTCTAAATCAGTGCTTTTATATCTATAATCAGACAACATTTAATGAAGTGAAAATTCTGCCGGCATGAAACTAGTCATAATAAAATTAGACTTGGTTTGCTCTTTCATGGAGAACATATTCCAGATGTTTAAGTGATTCAAAGAAAACCCACAGTATAATGGCTCCCTTCAATGTTTTCTCACTCACTGCGTCCAAACTAGAATAAAATCTAATGAAATTCTAGTCGTATTTAAATAGCACAGGATATTGTTCAGAGTTAACCGTACTTTTTTGACATTTCATACTCGGTGTTCAATAATATGAACATATATTTATATGTGTAATATTAAAAGCTCTAATGTTGGAAAGATAGTCAAACACAATGTGACATCCACTTAAATGACACAGGCCCCGTACTGAGTCTTTACATGGCATGGTGTCTTGTGATTCGGTGTTTAGGGACCCATACTTCTTACTCGGTACACTTCTAGGCATTGATAGTCTACAACAGCAGTGAGCCATCCTCAGGGGGTACGGAGCTGCCACAGGAACCTAGGCCAGATGCCAAAGTGGAGACTGACTCGGACACTCTCCCACTTCCTTTTTCTCTTCCTCTCTTCTATCTCCAGTTACCTTCTTTCCTCTGTTCTCATGGGCTTAGTGCCCTCATGATGATGTCTAGCTGGCTAAAGTTCTTCATTCTGCTCAGTCCCATCATGATATCCCCCAGCATGAAACTTCCCACCAAATGATCACTTTACCAACTGACCTTCTCCCCGCCCCCATCAAAGCTTCCTTTGATCCTAACAGAAGTGTAATCCAGATTAAACTAAACATATGCCTTCTGCCCCCCTTAGTTAATGATGGTACTAGTAATGGTAGCAGTGGTAGTCAAGGAGTGGTAGTAAACTTTATCATAGATTTCCTCTATTCCAGCTCAGAACCTAGAGTTCAACAGTTAATTGAAAAAGTCAGTTCAATCAGGGAATCATAAAAAAGTATGTCTTAAACATTTTATTCGATCTTAGTCAACCAGGATTTTAATGTTGTGTGAAGGTTTCTTCTTTAAGTGTAGGTTCACTGATTAGACTTCTCCATAAATCACACTGATGATGAAGACTTTGTGATTTCCAGTTCCGGTTTCTTTCATGTAGACAGAACCCATCAGGAAACATGAAAGTCATTCTGAATACAGAACCCTTCTAAATTTTTCAGATTATTTTCCTAATCTTTTACAGTTGCCTTGCCTACACCCAATTCAACAATATTTACTTCTCTTGTTCTTTTTAAAGCACCTTTCTAGAGGGTTTAACCTGGTTTTCATAGAAATAATAGCTTATTTTCTCTTAGACTTAAATTTCTTTGGTTTGTGAAATCTTTAATTAAATTATGTAATTGCAATACTAACTGGCAAAGACAGGTTTGAGACCATACCACAACCAACAACTCAACTAATGACAGCTGAAGGCCATGCATCCTGGCAGATAACTCTAACATTTTATTTAGAGGCTGTGAGAGGCCCCAGTCACTGTGTTTCACAGAGGCATGAAGACTGGCTAATCTGGTGAGTCTTAAGTAAAGACCAGTTAAGAGAACGTCTACTGTAATTGCTAGATGGCGGGGCGGGGCAGAACAGAAGCCACCAGATTCCATGATGGTGGGGAGAGATGGGGAGAAGGAGAGTGAATGTTCTGATTAATGATGTATACTGTACCCTAATTTTTTTTAAAGATTTTATTTATTTGAGAGAGAGAGAGCACAAGAGAGGGGAGGGTCAGAGGGAGAAGCAGACTCCCTGCTTAGCAGGCAGCCCGATGTGGGACTCGATCCTGGGATTCCAGGATCATGACCTGAGCCGAAGGCAGTCGCCCAACCAATTGAGCCACCCAGGTGCCCTGGACCCTAATTTTTAATCGCCTTCATCTTCCAAAACACCAATGGAGGATTAAAATCTATGTCTGGGACTTTGCAGGAAGGAAGTAAAAATCCAAATATTCCAATAAGAGGCATTTGAACACATACATGATGTAGTCCAAAGGGAGCTGAAACCTGCATGTGAGTGAGCCGGATACTCAATGGCTAAGAGGCATGCCGGTGAAGATGGATGATTAACAGACAGGGTTAGCCTGCAGTTTTGTTGGACTCTGCCTAGCTGCCGCACCATCTCTGCAATGCTTTCCTGTTTCTAGTTCCTACTCATATGATATTTATTTATGGTGCCTAGAAACAGATGTTACTATCCAGAAGAGAATGCCTCCATTTTGTAATGATTGCCCTTGTCCAGGTTTCTCCATTGACATTTAGGAAATCTGTTTTCTAGGGGCACCTGGGTGGCTCAGTCAGTTAAGCCACCAACTCTTGATTTTGGCTCAGGTCATGATCTCGGGGGTTGTGGGATGGAACCCCGCACAGGACTCTTCCCTCAGCAGGGAGTCAGCTTCAGGATCCCTCCCCCGACCCCACCACGCACCTTAGCGCATGCACACACACATGCTCTCTCTCAAATAAATGAATAAATCTTTAAAATAAATCTGTTTTCTAACCTTTTATTACACAAAACAAAGTGATTATGGATCATTTCCTTTTAGAGATATGAATTTACATTGATGGATTTTACCTCCTTCCATGGGATCCTTTTAATCTCTATATTTATTTATATGATAGTAATAATATTACTATCAATCCCTATAAAAACTTTCTCAGACTGATTCCTATGACATTCCACTGACATGAAGGTGAATAAAGATGAATACATCAGATAGTATTTTTTTGCATGTCTGTGGTCAGATAGAAAGATTTCTTCTGTTTTCCTTTATTTTTATTTTTTATTAATATATAATTCACAAACGATAAAATTCACCCTTCAGGGGCACCCAGCTGGCTCAGTTGGTGGAGCCTGTGACTCTTGACTTCAGGGTCATGAGGTTGGGCCCCATGTTGGGTGTACAGTTTACTTAATAAAAATTTTTTAAAATTCATTCTTTTGAAGTGTGCAATTCAGTGGTGTTTAGTATATTCATAAGGTTGTGCTACCATCACCACTGTCTCATTCCAGAACACTTTTATCACTCCCAAAAGATGCCCATGATTCTTTAATATAATATTCTTTTTTTTTTTAAGATTTTATTTATTTATTCATTCATTAGAGACAGAGAAAGAGAGGCAGAGGGAGAAGCAGGCTCCCAAGGAGCAGGGAGCCTGATGCGGGACTCGATCCCAGGACCCTGAGATCATGACCTGAGCCGAAGGCAGACGCTTAACCATCTGAGCCACCCAGGCGCCCTTTAATATAATATTCTTAATGCCCGTTTTTAAAAAACATTAAGTTCTATAGAGTGATTATCTTATATTACCTAAGAACTATATAAGAGTCTTATATTCCATACAATACCACATTTTAGTGGTGAGATATTCAGGTTGATTTGACAGGACTAATGCCATTCTTATTTAGAATGTACATACTGGCTCCTTTTCTTTGGAGTGGGAGGGAATTGGAGAGTTATAGATGAAGTCAGTGTAAGCAGTGGTTTTATCAACATAGTGAACCAGAGAAATAACACCTACCCAGATCAAGCAAGTCAAAGCAGCGCATATACCCAAGTAAGTGATGTTGTCCTTGTGCAAAGACATTACATTACACAAACTGTTCTCCTAAGTGAGGGAATTTGTCCCTTAGAAATTGCTCATTGAAACATTTGGACATCATGCATCATGTTAAAGAACCATAAATGTCATCTCAATAGGGTAGATATGATGCATGGTAATATCCTCCCCATATCTGCATAGGGTCCTTCTACTCACCAGATTGTCGTGATGCATTGCATCAGAGAATCCCATTCTCGTGCTTCAGAGACAGCTGAGAAGCCCCATGGGAGCCTTCCTAAGTCATTGCTACAAGGACTAAATTACCAGGAGACCAGGAAGTCATTCTTAGGGCTTGACAAAATACCCTAATCTCTAAATGAATCTACTTATTATGCAGTTGGTGTAAAGTATGAATGTAATATTTCATGATTGAGTATATCCTTTTATTGTAAAAAAAAAAAAAAAGGATCCATTTGTGGTTGTAAGATGAGTAGAATTCAGAATCTAGCAGTGTATTTTTTCTGTTACTTTGCCAATCCAGAATTACTTTGGAAAGGTATATAATATAATAGCTAAGAATATGTACTCTGGAGGCAAGCAACCCTGGCTATGTATCCCAGGTTCCTCAATTTTGACCCATTGAACCTTTGGCAAGATATAACCTCTGCAAGTTGTTTTCTCACATGTAAAATGAGAATTCTCCAACTACCAATCTCATGGGGTTATTTTGTAGGAATAAAATTATTATTATGTGGACAGAGCTCATCACAGGATTAGGCACCTAAGAAATGCTCTGTAAATATTAGTTATTATTATTCACCCATTCACAAATGTCCGTGGTTACAATACCACTGTAGTAGAGCAAACGTCACAAACACTGCACCCCAAACAGAACAAGATATCTTGTAGTTCCCATGTGTGTTTCTTTGCTTTAAATGTTCTCATTTTCCAACTCGCCCTTGACTATTTCACACAGGTGCTTCGAGGAGAAATTACACCTCTGAAAGAGAATGTCAGCTACGTCAATGACCTTGCTCGCCAACTCACTACGTTGGGCATTCAGCTGTCACCATATAACGTCAACATTCTGGAAGACCTGAACACCAGATGGAAGCTTCTGCAGGTAGGCACGTTATGAGCATTGCAGTTCCTTGTTACAACAAGAGAATATATGGATAAAGCTTGTTTGTAAGGAACAAGAAAAGTAGTTTCTTCATGTGATGTTCTGGATAATATTTCGTGAATGTAGGGTATTTTATATTATTTAGTAAGTTCCTATATAAGTGTTTTCAAACCTATTAGTAATAATTTTTGTAAACAGCTTAAAGTTAGACTTTCCTATATCTTGCAATAAATATGGAAAATAGTGCTGAATCATAATGGAAGGACTTATTTACTGTCATACAGTTACTTTGTACTATTATTGCTTGGATTCTTTAAACATCTTTACCTCTGGAATCCTAATTTAAACAACAGTCAATGGGAAGACATATTCTAAAATCTTTCTAAAAAGAACATCCTGGGCACCTGGGTGGCTCAGTTGGTTAAGTGTCTGCCTTCAGCTCAGTTCATAATCCCAGGGTCCTGGGATCAAGCCCCAAGCTGGGCTTCCTGCTCAGCGGGGAGCCGGCTTCTCCCTCTGCCACTGCCCCCACTCATGCTCGCTCACTCTCTCTCTCTCTCTCGCTCTCTCTCTCAAAAAATAAATAAATAATCTTTTTAAAAAATAATAAAAAATAAAAAGAACATCCTATCACAAACCTATATATGGAGGTTTTTCATAGCTTTGCATAATAAATATAGGGACCAGAAGCATGCTCAAGGTCACACTTACTAGCTGTGGGACCTTGGGCAAGTTATTTAACCCTTCTGTGCTTCGGTCTTTTATCTGAAGAAAATGTGGATATTAAATGCTTCTAAAATACCAGTCTATTATTAGAACAAGTAAGTCAAAAGATGTGGAAAAGTGCTTAGAACAGGACTAGTTACATAGTAAATGTTGTATAAATTCTAGCTCTTGGTGTTATTGCAGTTATAATGGTTATTATTATAGCATACAAGTTTTGGAATCAAACTGACTGAATGACCTTGAAGTTATTCATCCTCTCTGATTGTCCGTTCTCTCATCTCTAACATGCTTGCTGTAATAGTAAACAAACTAATTCATGTAGAGTTGTTAATACAGTACCTGGCTCATAATAAGAACTCAAAAAAGGTAATGTGTCTCTATGTTCCCCACATGAGGGACACTGTGTAAATACCCTCAAACCCTCAAACTGATTTTACTGTAGAATTAGAGAATTGTTTTGTCTCCCTCTCCAGTTTCATAGGATACAAACAGTATGCTTCTGAGGACAGAGAGGAAACTGAGTTTAAAAATATTTGTTTTCAGTGTTTTAATAGGGAAAAAATGATAAAGCAGATAACTTTTTGTATTGGCAGTCCATTTAGGGGTGCGATTGAAAGTCCTGTTGAAGAATTGCTAGATCTTTAATAAAAACAAGTTCCAAATTCAAGACCTCCTGAGATCTCCTATAATTTAATTCTTGTTGTGATGGATAGTTTTGAAATATCTGTATGATAGACTGGTATAAGTGGCATTGACTAAAGCAAAGCAATATAGTTAAGCAATTAAATGCCTTTCTATGTCTATTAGTTTCATAGTGGCTAAGTACTATTAAAACCTTATCAGCTTCATCCTTAGTATGTTTTTCACTTTAAGCATAAATAAGGAAAGTAATAAATGTCCAAGGAAAAGCAGTGGCCACATTTGTTCTCTTCAAGCACTCTTGAACAGTATCTTAAAATTTCTTTTAAAGAACCAAATGCTGGATGCCTGAGTGGCTCAGTCAGGTAAGCGGCTGCCTTCGGCTCAGGTCATGATCCCGGGGTCCTGGGATCGAGCCCTGCATCGGGCTCCGTGCTCAGCGGGGAGCCTGTCTCTCCCTCTGCTTCCGCTCCCCCTGCTTGTGCTCTCTCTCTCTCCCTCTCTGTCAAATAAATAAATAAAATCTTAAAAAACAAAAAAACAAAAAAACAAATGCTGCATTTGCTTTCCGAATGTTGTATGAGATTTGTGACCATGGCACATAAGCTTACAGATGAGGTCAAAGATTATGACTGATAAGGAAAGTTTTTAAAGATCAGTGCTAAACGAGCCATTATAGTCACATTCTTTATTTAGATGTAAAGTATGAGAAAATATTAATAGCTTAAGTTTTGCTCATTCCTTAAAATGAATAAGGACTTGGTTATAAATATAGGGAAGTACATGAAAGGAGCTGATGTAATAAAAAGAGGACTGGAGTGAATAATATTAGCCCTGACTTCAAACTGAAGCTCATTCTTTGACCATGTTATCTTGAAGAAACCTTTATCCTCCCTCAGCTTTAATTCCCTCATTTATAAAATGAGGCAATCCATTTGGTCTCAGGTCACAGCCAGCTCAATCCTATGATTCTGTATCTGGATATCTTGGTGGGGGGGAGGGGGTGTGGGGGAGAGATGCATATGACAAAATTTAGTTTAGAATCAATACAGTGGCTTCCTCTCTTCATGTTACAGACATGGCTCGTGGGGATTGTGTTTCTCCTTCTTTCATTTTAACTTTTAAATCCCTCATCCCAAGCCCACATATACACAGCTTTCTCATACTAAACAGCTCGATGAGTTCATGGTACATGCTCTTGTTGTGGCAAATTTCACATGTTGCTATTTTTGAACATGACCTTAAGGATATGCTTGAAAAGTGTTTTCAGCAGAAAGCTGATAAATCCAAGGTTTGGGGTTGCACATAACTGAGTCAAGTGGATTCCATTTGTTTTCTGTGACCATAATCGTAACCACTCTGCCATATTATAAATGGTAGTCCTTGTTCAGAAAGTGAACAATGCCAAGAAATGAGGCTCACATCAAATAACTTCATCCCCTTGGCAGAGCAAGTCATATGTCCTGTTGACAACATTTAACCATTAGAAGAATGTATCTGACTAAAGAGTCACCCAACTCCTGTGAAGGGAAGCTGGAGCCCATCACAGTGCTATGTCAGTTAGGACATCATGATACAAAATTAGTACAAATTCATCTCTGCTTCTTTGTCTACTAAGACAGAGAAAAATTAAAAAATAGAGAGTTGGAGTAGTGGGAAGGCGCATATACATCTAAGAAAACCTCTTAACTTGGGGCAAAATAGTGTAATAGAAGAAAGAGAGTTACATAGTACCAGGCTGTATCTACTTGATACCAGAATATCCTGGGTTTAATTAGACAATCCATTAATTTTTATTTTAAAAGAAAACCATGCTGGGTTTTTTAGCTGAGTGCAATATCAGTCAAAATGATAGAAACAGATAAACCATGTATATTTGACATCAACAGCGGAGTAAGACACAGTCACGATTTATCTGTACATAAAAATAGTGTATAGAGAGCTCTGAATTTATTTGGGATGCACAAATAGAAGTTTAGAGACATTGGTTTCCCTGTTTGAAACTCTGTAGGAATAAAATCCTATTTTCTGCCTCAGAGTGGACTCACTGGTTGGGATGTTTGTCCTAGACCACGTGACAACGTGTTTGGGGCAGAGGAAACCTATGCCCTTCCTTGTGAGGAGGAGTTTTCATGTGCATTCCCTTGTTTAATCCTCATAGCGTTATGATGATGCCTTACTATTACGTATTATCACTATTCCCTTTTACATGTAAGGAGACTGAGACTTAGACATAGAGTATGACACAGTCCCAGTCACAGTCAAGGTGTGAATCCTCTCTTCTGAACTACGACCCCCCTGCCCCTTTTGTTTCCTCTTATCAAAGTCCTGTTTAGTTTGGACTTCACAAAGTCATACTTGAAAGCTGGTTTGGGCCACATGGGTATGAAATACTTCACTCTTTTCCTGCTTCTCCCCTCTTTTGAGTGACTCTCAGGGATATTAACTTTGAAATCTCCTTTTTACAAACCAGTGGACTAATGAGCCCAGTTCAGTGTACCCCTTAAAAATCCCACATGTAGTTTGAAATATAAGATGTTAAAGCATTACATTCTTCGTTGTCTTTAGAACACAGCAACTGTACTAAAATCAACCAAAAGTGATTTTAATGAATTAGCTCTTAAAGTGGAACCAATGCTAACATTTGACCCGGTAGAAATGAGTATCAAAACCAAATGGGAAGAAAATTAAACTGATGATAAACTTCTAATGTTGAAGCAATGGGTACATGTTTAGTGACATAGTCATACTCTTTATTCACCAAGCACAAGTACTACAGAGAATATTCAACTCTAGGGAAGTACCGCTAGGGGATGTTCTAACCATTTCTCTGCATTACGAGTAAACCCATGAAGAGCAACAGAAGCTGCAAATACACTTTAATATAAAGAGTACGTGCTTTATTGACTGTGGAATGTCTGGAATGTAATCACTTGAAAAATATTGAATATGAAGACATTTCTAGGCCTGATATTCTTTAAATATGTTTAAGGACAGTATCATGAATTATGTACGTTTTTAAAGGTTTCCTAAGATTCTTCCAAAGTCATGCAGACAGTTACATTAACTCCATCTTCACAACGGTGTTAACTATCTGTCACAAGGATCTAGACCCTCATCTTCTGCACATCCCTGTGTACCTAGCAGGCGCCGTAATCATCCTATCTGGTCCAAGGACATAGTGACCAAAATCCCCTTTACTGCTTATGCCATCTTAGGAAAAATTTTATAGATGGGTTTTCTTTTAATACTTCCGTAATGGCTCACTCTTTCTCCATGTTATAAACAAAAAAATATGCTATTATGACACTAATACTATAAAAGTGGTACCTTTTCAGATCTCTGACTTACAAATTCTTCAATAATTCCTGACCAGGAGTTTGGTCTACATAATCAGACTAGTAAGATTGTGGAAGAACATGGGATCATATTTAGGTGGCCAACAGAAATATTTGCATGGCTTTGTTTTTTAAAAATTTAACAAGAGTTTTAATTGAAAAATTAAAAATTCCAGCAGAGCAGCTTATGATCTTTACTTTGGTGAGATAGGTTTTCAGAGCAGGCTTCTATCTATATATGTGTGTGTTTGTCCTTGTCATCATTGAGCACAGGATTTGATCCTTTAAATATGTTGA